TTGTTGTTGCGCAGATATAGAACATCCATTAGCATAACCTGTGCCCCAGTATATCCATTACCTGGACTTTTGGAAACTTTTACCCATAATTTCACTGCTAAAGGATTCACCTGCCTAATGTCGCTTCAGGGGAGACTGCATAGAGTTTGGGTATCAAACTATTTATTCTGTGAAGTCAGTGTCCATTTTCCCATGTGGTTGTCTTGACACTGTTTTCTTTTTCTACTTGTCTCATTTCTTTGTCTGCTTAGAGTGTGCACAGCTATTCTTAATACCTTCCATTCCCATGTCACAGGAGTCTCTTGCTTAAATAAGTTACTGTTGCTATTGTCTTAATGAAAAAATATTTGGGTTATGCAGACATATGTAATAAGCAAGATGCAGAAACTGACAAAAGAAGGATTACAGCGAACAGACAAGAGAATTGGTCTCATGAATGAAGTATTGGCTGCGATGGACACAGTAAAGTATAGTTCATTCGCAGAAGCATGTTTGTAACCCCTAAATATACTACCCAGCTTAATGATTTGTGACTCTAGTGATATGTATTTTTCAGATCTTATGCATGGGAGAATAGTTTCCAATCTAAGGTTCAGGGTGTTCGGAATGACGAACTGACTTGGTATAGGAAAGCACAATTACTAGCAGCGGTATGTTATGTTAACCAGAAGCATGAATTGTGTTTTTCCGGAAGGAAATGTTATTGTGCCTTCCGTGGATGTCAAAACAAAGGTGCATTACGTTGTATTGCCACAAGAATAAAGCTTGAATCAATTTTACTACCTCTCATGCCCCTAACCTAAGACCATACACATACACATTTATTTTATTTTTTTTTGGTAAAAAAAAAAAAACAGTTTATGACATACACATTTATATATATGGACAAGACTGCATGAATGAAAACAGTTTGCTTCACCTTGGCTTATACGGGGCTGCGGGCAGAAAGAAAGGACACCAATACTGCAATATAAAATTTACTTGTTCTTGTTTTTTCCTTCATTTTTTCCTCTTGGCCTGACTTTGATATCCTCTTCATTTTTATCTGTTTCAGTTGAATAGCTTCATTCTGAACAGTATTCCTGTTGTGGTGATTGTCATCTCATTTGGGGTATTCTCGTTACTCGGAGGAGATCTAACACCAGCAAGGGCATTTACATCTTTATCCTTGTTCGCGGTGTTGCGTTTTCCGCTCTTCATGCTTCCTAATATAATAACACAGGTTTCAAATGTTTCTTCACAATCTCATATGCTGATAATAAATAGCTTTACTGCTTTTTCAATTGTTGAAAAACCCTCAATTTGCTGATATCTGACTTTGAAGAATCGCTGTTGTAGCATTTATTCTAGACTGTTAGAGAGAAGAAAGACTACTTCCTCGGAAGTTCATTAGTCGTGCTTGAGTATTGTTTCATTTTCTAATTGACAATCAAATTTCTCACCTAACCACCCTCCCCAGGAAAAATAAAGAAAATGAGGAAAAGAAAGCAAATTTATTATCATTTCTAACCATCTGAGTTGAAGGGAATAGCTAGAATTAGTCAGCAATGATGATCAGGGGCGGATCTATTGAGGCCCGAGGGGGTGGCACGCCGCCCGCAAGGTTCGGTAGAAATTCTATATATATATATATGTGTGTGTGTGTGTGTGTGTGTGTGAGAGAGAGAGAGAGAGAGAGAGAGAGAATGCACTGGAGAAGAATCTATTTTTTTAACAATGATACAATGAACCCTATATATAATACATATTTTACTCCTACCACATATGGGGCTATGACATATTCTACTCCTACTACATATGGGACTAGGACTATTTACACAACTATCTAACACTCCCCCTCAAGCCGGTGCATACAAATCATATGTACCGAGCTTGTTACATATGTAACTAATACGAGGACCAGTGAGTGACTTGGTAAAAAATCTGCAAGTTGATCATTCGACATACAAGGCCACTAGATTCCCCCTGAGCAACAAAACCAAGTGGTTGCTGATAAGCAGAAGTTGATCAAAAGGTCGCCGGAAAAAATTGAAAATAGTGAGGCTAAGCCGAATTCCACACTACAAAATAGGTTATAAAACACCACCAGAAAACATAAACGTTTCTGGAAATTACTATTCACACAGGGATGAGTAAGTTGTCCTGAAGAAGTTGTCAAAAGTGGCCGGAATGGCTCACATGCGCTGGAAAAGTTACTGTAGCTCGCCGGAACCCTAGTTCTGTTGGCGCGTGGAGGCTCGTGACTTTATGCCGGAGTGATTGACTGGGGTTTTGTCGCCTTACTTTTCCGAACAAGATGACAGTGTTGGTTTTCGCACAACACTTACCGATGAGGAGATAACGCAAATCATCTTGAGTCGTCAACCGGAAAGACGCACGTTGACTGGCATTTCTGTTCAGATGGGACTGGAATTTCTGAGGTTTGGTCGCACAAGGGTTTCGGATCTGATGGTGGTACTGATATATGCACAGTACCACTATAGCAGTGATGAACCCTGGGAACAAGATGAAGTTGCCGGAAAATTGCACGGCGATGAGATCTTTCTTCCCGGTTGTCGCTGGAATGACGCACAACGATAATTTTCTCACTGAAGCTCTGATACCATGTGAGAATGCGCGGAGAAAAATCTATTTTTTTAACAATGATACAATGAACCCTATATATAATTACATACGGGACTAGGACATTCTACTCCTACTACATATGAAACTAGGACATATTCTACTCCTGCTAAATATATGACTAGGACTATTTACACAACTATCTAACAATATGTATATATAAGCAAGACACATGATAAATAAAAGAATTGCCACCTGGAATTATAAAAGGTGCCGAGGTGACACTGGTAGAGGCACGTAGTTTCTTCCTTCATGGCGGGGGATTGAACCATGCTGGCTACGTTTTTGATCTGTTTTCGCTTTCTACATTAGATAGACAACATAGCCACAACAGGTTCGATATCTAGGACTTTTTCTGTTGATGTCGAGGATTTAAAATCAATTAATAAGTTTCCTAGAGCGCGTGTAATTTGCTCAAGCCTAAAATTCGTAGTCCGTTACTTGTAATTTGACTACAAAACCTTAAAATTATACTTCCTTTCTTTCCTTTTTTAAAAAAATTTATTTGGGTTAATCAAGGACTCCATTATTATTAGTAGGAGTATCACTGTATCATGAAGTTCATGATTCTTCGTTATTGTCAATTCATTATATTCTCTTAGAATTATAACATAAATGTTAGGAAAATTAGCATGCAAAATATTATAGCTATGTTACGTAGTTTAAATAAGAAAATAATTTATGTAAGCTTGTTGGAATTTAAAATTTTAAATATTAGGACTTTATGCATACCTCAAATTAAAAAATAAATAAATAATTATAAAAAAAAAAATAATAATAAAAAATATATATATATATATATATATATATATAAAATAATTAGCTTCCTTCTTCCAAAGATCTTCTCTCTCCCGTCAGAACAAAAACCCTCATCCCATCAAGTTGTCATAATTAGTTTTTTTCCGCTTAATTTATTTGTCTGTATAAATCGAAAGACAAATAATTCGAGCTGAAGTCCAAAACTGATCAAACCGAATAAATACTTACTCTATTTGGACCGTATAAATAACAATACGTCTACGTTCAAAATAATATGGCATCTACAACCTCTAAATCCTAGATCCACCTCCGGTGATGACATTATCAGATACTAAAATTTTGTGGTGAGGTGAATAACATTTAAGTGTTCATTCTTGTATAACTGTCCCAATATCCTTAAGTCTATTTCATTGCTGGAGCATGTGACATTCAGTTTCTGGGCAGGTGGATTAGTAAGCAGCATTTCAATATTAGCACATCCTAAGCAGAATCTTAGGGCCTGTTCTCTTTGATTATTACTTCGTTTCTGATTAAATCAATGTTGTTAATCTGGTTATCATCTGAGAAAATTACTTTCTAAAGTAATATATTTCTCCAGTGAAAGCGATTATTTTTAATCACATCAGCATCCCCCAGATGCAACAAATATGTCATTTTGAAAACTCGCTAGAATGGCCAATGTGTCTATATTTATTCTTCCTTATCATCCAAAAGTTGGCTTGTTAAATATGCCACCTCCGATTTCTTGACTTTTAACTTTTTATTCTGTAAAATTTCTTGATTTTAACAATTTCAATTATTTTCTATTTTACTCAAGAAGCATTGTGGTGGATAATATTTGGTATGCACTTTGTACCTCAAAAAGGAAAAAGTTATAAACACGTCATTAATTCTCAGGTCCGGAGTTTTACCGTTAAAGTAAAACATTCCATGCCTTTTGAGAAAAAAGAGACTAGCATCTTTTTTTCCCTTTTCCTCCTTTTTTTAAAAATTTCTATGTGAGCAAGAGAGAACATAATCTATCTATGGGATCTTCTTTCATTCTGCCGTTTTGCTTAACTTACATGGTTGCACCTATTTTCTGCTGTTGCAGGTTGTTAATGCAAACGTATCGTTGAAACGTCTAGAAGAGCTTCTCTTAGCAGAAGAAAGAATACTTCTACCCAATCCACCTCTTGAGCCTGGACGTCCAGCCATTTCAATCAAGAATGGATGCTTTTCATGGGAATCAAAGGTTTGCACATTAGTCGATATCTTCTTTTGCCAGAATAAGTACACTTAGCCATGCAAACATAAATGTGGTAGCCTTTAGCCTCCTCCTATGTTTTTACAGAAGTGGGTAAAGACATAACAAGTACTTACAGTTAAAGTTTATGTAGATTGTAGATATGCATTTATCATTAATAGGTAAACCTCCCTCTTTTCCTTTTTTCTTGTTTCATTTCACTCGTTAAAGAATCTGTTCATAAATGAGAAATCCCATCCTTTTCAGGAAACCTTATATATCTTGCATATTTATTATTGCTTTCCAGAAAGATTCTTCTCCAGGTAGTTTAATCTTTCTTCTCTTTAAAAGTGTAATCTGACCTCGACTTTTTACTGCCACAATTTCGATTACTTGGTAGCACGTTACATATTATTAATGAAATTGGTTTTTGTCAATATTTGGGGCACAAATAAATGTGAAAATAATCTGTAGTCTAAAACTTGGTACTGTAGCCCCTTGAAAGGGATCTGGTATGCTTGGGCAGTGATGCAAATGGAGTATGCTTGAGCAGATAGCTAGTTGCTTTGTGATTAAGCCATAGTTTCCTAAGAGAAAGGACAGTGATGCTATATTTTACCACATTAGTTGGGTGCAGGATATTTGGATGGCCCGAATTTAGTGCGGTCTTATCTCACATCTGTTAGGCGGAGGAAATTTGAATTATGTAACTGTACGATTTATGTACAATTTGTTGCATAATTATTTGACAAACGAGGATGAGGCTAGTGGAATGAATAATTTGCACCGACACTGAGTTGTGTTGGCAGCTAATGGTACCTCTGCTAGGTTCTTGGAGAATCTCTGAGTCCACCATACTCATCTTTCAATTCGTCTCTTATGTCTATATCGTTTCCCAGAAGGTTGTCATGCTCCTAATTCCACTTATGTCCGAAGGAATTTCTGTTTTGGAGTATTTTCATTTTTGAGAAATCTGAAAGACAGAGAAGCTGAAGAACTAGCAATTTTGTTGGTTCTTTTTCGAGCTTCTATTTGTCATCATCTGGTTATAAGGTTGGACTTTGGACTACTTGGTTTATTAATTTATAAATCTTTTTAGCTGGTCTCTCTTTTGTACCTAGAGCATTTCTTTTGGGTTCATTTATCACTTGATTGATGTAGTGTGTGTAGACAGAACTATTACACTTACTCCCAGCTGATCCAAAAATGCCTCTTTGCTAGAGATGTATGGTGGAGAATATTCCTAAATTGAGGAACAATACATATTTGGAGCAGCTCTGAGGAATCAGTTCTTGTAATATTTTCGTTCTGGGAATAATCATGATCCCTTGGAAGTGCTCTAAGTGTACTTTTGGCTTGAAAAAGCATTCTATAATCTTCCACAGCCATTGAAGTGCTGATTTATTTTGTATAACTTGCTATTGAGCGTATGGTTTAGAACACAATCTCCAGCTGTCCCGACCTACAAAAGTGTTGAGCAGCTTATTGGATTGAGTTGCTAAGTTCCTTTTAGGATTTCTTCTGAAGTTCTCTTCTGCTTCTATCTTTATCAATCAAAAAGTTTAGAAGTTTCTATTTATCAAGAAAAAAGAAAAAATAATCAAATAATAAAAAAAAAAACAGATACACTTTTAATAAAGAAGGGGGCTCTTCAATACCCTTTTCCTGCTTAATCTTCTATGCAGTTGCTAAGTTTGGAAATTAATAGGCTTGTCAATTCTTTTCAAGGCATACGGGAGCTGGGAAACTCAACTGTTATCTTGATGTGCAGGTAGAGAAACCAACATTGTCAAATATCAACTTGGATATCCCAATTGGTAGTTTAGTAGCTGTTGTTGGGGGCACTGGAGAAGGAAAGACATCGCTAATCTCAGCAATGCTTGGAGAGGTTCCTTCCGTTTCGGATTCAATGGTTGTCGTAAGAGGAACAGTTGCTTATGTACCACAAGTTTCATGGATTTTTAATGCAACAGTAAGTAACCATGTTTATTCGTTACATACATAAGCATTAAGGTTGATCATGTGGCTGCCTTTGATTAAAGAAATTTGGTATCATGGATGACTTGAAGTGCATAATTACGTTCTACAGGTACGTGAAAATATACTGTTTGGTTCTGCAATTGATGCTGCAAGGTATGATAGGGCCATCGATGTGACGGCATTACGGCATGACCTTGAATTGCTTCCGGTAAGCATAGCTGCAAAAGGTGTCTAATCAATATATTTTAGACAGTTTATTCTTCTTTATGATCTTTCTTTATTTTTATATTATTATAAGGACGATATTTCTTTAATGTGTTGCTCAATTTTTAATTGCCTTTGTTCTAGGGTGGTGATCTCACTGAAATTGGTGAACGGGGTGTGAATATTAGTGGAGGGCAGAAGCAACGAGTATCCATGGCTAGGGCTGTTTATTCCAATTCAGATGTTTGCATATTTGACGATCCATTAAGTGCTTTGGATGCTGATGTAGGCCGCCAGGTAAACATTATACTATGATGAAATGTGCTCTTTTTAGTTCCATCCAGCATCCAACGCAAGCTTCTTTCACTTGTTGGTTTTGTTACATTTTCCTGATGCAATATGTTACTGAAATGATCTGAATCGCATCATTTTGTGGAAAATAATTTTTTTTGTGTAACATTCGTTGTAATGTATTATTACCAGGTTTTTGAAAGGTGCATCAAGGGAGAACTGAAAGGAAAGACCAGAGTTTTAGTCACAAACCAGCTACACTTCCTGTCACAAGTAGACAGAATCATACTGGTGCATGATGGTATGGTGAAAGAGGAAGGAACCTTTGAATATCTCTCAAATAATGGGGTACTATTTCAGAAGCTGATGGAAAATGCGGGGAAAATGGAAGAGTATACAGAAGAAAAGGAAAACGATGACAATGACAAATCTTCAAAACCTGTTGCTAATGGTGAGACCAATGGGGTATCTAAGGAAGTTGGAAAAGATAGTAAGAAAGGAGGAAAATCTGTTCTTATTAAGCAGGAGGAACGGGAAACTGGTGTAGTGAGCTGGAATGTTTTGGCGAGGTAAGATTAATACTATGATCTGGCTAAAGTTTAAACAAGCTTTTCCGTTTTCTAAATTATTATATATGTATACACACACACATTGTATGTATGTGTATTCATATATAGAGGTTTCAATTTGTGTGGTGAGGTAGTTAACACCTTTCAATACTGAGATACTCCTGTAGAAAAGGTTTCACAGTCAATTATCTCCCAGATTTAGTTTTGACTGATAAATTTGCTTAATTATGAATGAGTTCCATATCCAATCTTTCTGTGTGAAACTAGTTTACCTGAAAGCTGTGGAGTTTATTTTGTATAAAGTAGTTGTAGTTAGGCTTAACACAAAGAGCTGTCATGCCTTTCTAGCCTAATCTGCTTTATGTCAAGAATGAGAACTACAGGTTGAAGCTATTGGCTAGTATGAAGACTTAATTTATCTTCATAGCCATATCGTGAGACAAGGAGATCTTCTCCACAATAGTTCGTCCTTTAGCAAAAGCACCCCTTTTTGCTTAACTATTTTTATAGAGAGAAACTAACTAATTCTTCAAGCTAGAGAGAATTTCATATAAGTTACATTCTCTCCTTCAAATATCCTGTAAATAAAGGTAGGTCGGAATTGGTAAAAGTTTGAATTCATCTGCTCTGCGATATTAGTGAAAATCCAGTTCTTCTAATTGAGCTTGCTTTATGTCAAGATCAAAATTTAGTTAATCTAGTATTAGTATTAACGAGGCAAACATTTTGAAGAATCTCCAAGTCGATTGATGTTTTAGATGCAGCTGCCTTTCGCAAGTAGAAAATGCCTTTAGTTTAGTACACTACAGTTTAAATGTATGTTTGACATCAAATCATTCTAGTTTAAATAAAGAAAATGAGTTTGCAACCTTTACTCTTTCCTTCCCCCTGCTCTTTCTGTAGGGTGGATAGCTTCTTTTACAGAAGGAGAGTATGCTCTTGATCAAGTTGTAGGTCTAAATCGATACATTAAGTGTCTATGTTCATCCAATTGGGATTTCCTTTAGCTGATGCAGCTTTCTCCTTTTCCTTTCTCATGAATGTTAACCTTCTGCAGCATGGTGGGAAGTAAAGAGAATTGGAGCATTCCTTGAACTGAAATGCTTTATACGAAAGCATTTTCCAAGCCTATTATTGGTCACATGCTTTTGTGTACTGATTTAGCTTGTTTTTAACTCATATGTTGCAGGTATAAAAATGCTTTGGGAGGTTCTTGGGTGGTTGTGATACTATTTTTGTGCTATTTCTTGATAGAAGCTCTCCGTGTTGGGAGTAGCACATGGTTAAGTTTTTGGACTGATCAAAGCAGTTCGACGAGATATAGTGCTGGCTTCTACAATCTGATTTATTCGCTTTTATCTCTTGGTCAAGTATGTAATTATTATCTCTCTTAGCTTTTGTTGCTTGCTGCTTTCTCCCTACTGATCCAAGATATTTGATATCCTTGTATGCTGAATAAGACGGTGGAACTCTTCATCTGATGAAGGGGAAAGAAAAGGAGACTTCTAATTACTGTCTATATTATCTGCATATCAGGTTATGGTAACTCTCACGAATTCATTTTGGCTGATCACGTCAAGCCTTTATGCTGCCAGGAGGTTGCATGATGCTATGCTTAATTCTATTTTAAGAGCTCCAATGGTCTTCTTTCACACAAATCCACTGGGGAGGATTATCAATAGGTTTGCCAAGGATCTAGGGGACATAGATAGAACTGTTGCACCCTTTGTAAGCATGTTCCTGGGCCAGGTGTTTCAGCTTATCTCAACATTTGTCCTGATTGGTATAGTGAGTACCATGTCTTTATGGGCAATAATGCCGTTGTTGGTCTTGTTTTACGGAGCCTATTTGTATTATCAGGTATGTGGAAAACTATTATTTTATTTTGTTTTGTATAATTCATGTTTCTTAGATATAATCTGAACTGCTCTATCAATTATGTATCTGATATGCCCCTGCACTAATTTTATTGAGGTCTAAGCATGGGGTCGAATGGTCCACCTCTTTCTGAAACAAAACAAGCTATTGTCATTCCTTAGGATGCATAGTACATACTTTATCCATAACGTATTTAATTCTTTGCGCATATTATTTGTAAAAAATGCTCCCCGGCATGTCCAAGTCATGTTATGTGCCATGCTCGAGTCCTCTAGTGGAGGAGAATGAAAATAATTTTGGTTCACGAAAATGGATCTGTTACCTTAACCTGTGTCTGGCTGATTTCATTTGGTGAATGGATTAACTTCAATTAAGCCTCCCCTTTGGGTTTTTCTATTTGATTTTTTCCCTTTTCTATTTTAGTTCTACTTATTGTTTGCTCAAAACAACCTGCTTCTTGCAGAGCACTGCTCGTGAGGTGAAGCGCTTGGATTCCATCTCCAGATCTCCTGTCTATGCACAATTTGGTGAAGCGCTAAATGGTCTTGCAACTATTCGTGCATATAAAGCTTATGATCGAATGGCCAACATCAATGGGAAGTCAGTGGATAACAATATTAGGTTTACACTTGTGAACATGGGCGGAAATCGTTGGCTTGGGATCCGTCTCGAGACTGTGGGGGGTCTTATGATTTGGCTTACAGCAACATTTGCTGTAGTTCAGAATGGAAGGGCAGAAAACCAGCAGGCCTTTGCCTCAACAATGGGTTTGCTTCTCAGTTACGCCCTAAATATCACAAGCTTGTTAACTGCTGTACTGAGACTTGCAAGTTTGGCTGAGAATAGTTTAAATGCTGTCGAGCGAGTTGGAACGTATATAGACTTACCATCAGAAGGTCCCGCCATAATTGAGGGCAGCCGTCCTCCTCCTGGATGGCCTTCAGCAGGATCCATTCGATTTGAGAACGTTGTCTTACGTTACAGGCCCGAACTTCCTCCTGTTCTGCATGGTATATCCTTCACAATTCCTCCGAGTGACAAAGTTGGAGTAGTTGGCAGGACTGGAGCTGGAAAATCTAGCATGTTTAATGCTTTGTTCCGACTTGTGGAACCTGAAAGAGGAAGGATATTAATTGATGATTGTGATGTTTCAAAGTTTGGACTGACAGATCTTCGGAAGGTTCTTGGTATTATACCGCAAGCACCAGTTTTGTTCTCAGGTATTTTTTGAATTTGTTTTTGATCTCCATTTTTTGGGATGGAGGCTTGTCTTTATAGATGTCATTATCTTTATAGTTCAAATCAAGTTGCATCTAGATAATCATGCACATGTGATTCTGCTATAGTGCTGGAGGCGCTTATTACTGTAACTGTGAACAGATGTTCGGAGAGTAACATGCTAGTGACTTGTAGGAAGTATATTGTCAACCTTTCACATTCTGTCTGTTGCCCGTCTGACTTTGGAATCTATCTTGATCCACAAAGTCCATGGACATTGTCAAATAGTTTTTGTTAGTGGATACGCTTTGATGACTTTGAGGTTAACTGGGGGTTGAGCACTGTACTTAACAATTAGTGTATATATTGCGATGGACTTAGATTGTGTCTGATGCTTTTTCTGTAGCAGAGAGCGGGGTGTGAAATTCATGCCAAAATAAGATTCTTGTTGAAAAGAATATTTCTTTTTTGATGAGCGGGGTAATGTGCACTGCAAGCCCTAATTAGCTTTTTGCTACTATGTACATTTACCAAATTAATCTCTCCTTCAAACTCTTTTAACATTTTCCCTGGAAAAACTCTTTAGTAAATGGCTAATGGTAGAATAATAGAAGAGAACAAAGAGATAGAGAGCTCCATCAGACCCCTCGCCTCCTCTTGTTCTTCTTCCTCCTCTTTTGTCCCCCTCACAAAAAGCTTTGAGAACTTTTTTAACATTTTCCCTGGAAAAACTCTTCTGTAAATTCTGTTAAATGGCTAATGGTAAAATAATAGAAGAGAACAAAGAGACAGAGAGCTCCATCAGACCCCTCGCCTCCTCTTGTTCTTCTTCCTCATTTGTGCCCCTCGCAAAAAGCTTTGAGAATTTTGCAAAGAGCTGCTATACAATGCTAATTCACTTCTCTCTTGCCTACTTCATTTACTACTGGTTCTGATCTCACATTTCTAGCTTAGCCACAAGCAACTTCATATAATCTGAGTTGTTCTCTTTCTTTCGACTTTTGCTGACAAATCAGTCTGCTCTTTTACCAGTCTTTTATTTGATGGTGCAGATGGTCATACAAGAGAGATTTATAATTTAGAAACAAAAAGACCATGGCTACTCATAATATTTGTGTATATTGCACAAATCTAGTCCTATTCTAGAAGTGTTTAGTACCTAGCATAAACTTTGCTTATGGGTTGTAATCAACATGATGGACATGGGAGAAGAAGGAGCTGCGGAATCGGGAGGGGAGAGAAGTAAGAAGTAGGGGGAAAAGAAGGGAAGATACTTCTGATGGGCCTTGGGTTGCAGGATCTATTATTATCTTAACAGTCGCTTGTAGCTTTTCTTTTCTTGCGTTATCTCCTTCGCTCCTTCAGACAGTTAACCGAGAACGTTAAATGAAAGATCTCCAGGACAATCTTTAAGAAGTTGTAGAGGGTAAATGCTAAAAGAATAAATATAGGAACATATGATACTATCAAAATCTTTGAGTTGGCCTGCATTTTATGTCATATTAAATATGTCCTGCATTTTCGGTGTTGACCTGAACTAAACAACAACTCACCAACCTACCATTAAAAAAGTGTTTATCTCAATAGTCCTCGTGTATTTTGGCCAGGGACCGTGAGATTTAACCTTGATCCATTCAATGAGCACAATGATGCTGACCTCTGGGAGTCTTTGGAAAGGGCGCACCTAAAGGAAGTTATCAGGAGGAACTCTTTGGGTCTCGATGCCGAGGTTTGTTCTTTGTGTTTTGAATTGTTTCAAATTGTTTGACATCATTCCGCTAATAATATTACTCTTTATGACTTTCACTACTTTCAAGAATTCAGATTCGTTTAATTATTTAATTTAAACTTTGATATGATGTTTTCTCTATCAAACTAACATTTCAACGACTACTTTAATATTTTCTCTCTATACCACTAGCATAATAGATAAGTCAATATAAAATTTGAACTTCATGCCCTGTGATAAAGTGAAACAATGGCATTTATGATTCTAAAAATGTGAAACATTAGTACAAAGTGTCTTTAAAATATTTTGGCAATATAAAGTCTATTTAAACTCTGTAAAGTGAACTTTGTTGAATAAAATGTAATACAGGGGCAGTATCACTAATAAGCACGAGGACTACAACTAAAGGGAACAGCTTGTAAAACACATGGAAAGGCACAGACCTTCCATTTTTATGGTAGAATCAACTTTTATGTTATTGGATGTTACTGGGATTATTGCTTATCAAAGAGGAAAAATTGGACATATATTTGTTATGCTTTGTTTCTGTTGTATAATGGTTATGCTTTATCCAAATGCACCATATTACAAGTTACAAACCACGTTTCAAATAGTTACTGTTTTTGCTAGAAAGAAAACCCTTAACACCTATTTTTAGTTAAATTAGCATGTTGCACTATTAACTAACTCTGACCTTTCGAATTAACTAGATAGCTTAGAGGCTCAAGCCTTTGTGTTAGTATAAATTTAAAAAGTGAAAATTCTGTTACGTCTATTCTCTTGATTTTTCTATCTATACTATCATGGTCAAACAAATTTCAGCTATAGCTAACGAAACATTACTTTGATGTATTAAGGTGTCGGAAGCTGGAGAAAATTTCAGTGTTGGACAAAGACAGCTTTTAAGTCTTGCTCGAGCATTGCTTCGCCGGTCAAAGATTCTTGTTCTTGACGAAGCAACTGCTGCTGTTGATGTCAGAACTGATGCTCTTATTCAAAAAACTATACGCGAAGAATTTAAGTCATGCACCATGCTCATCATTGCTCACCGTTTGAACACTATCATCGACTGTGACAGAATTCTTCTGCTTGATGCTGGTCAGGTAGAGTGCTCACCCTTCAATCTTAGTCTTGTGAACTCACTTTGATAACAGGTCATGCCTGATTGCAGGTTTGAGGGTCTATTTGTTGGGGTTCCAATACAAAAGAGGGATTGCATCTTTTTTTTTTAAAACCATTTTTTCTCTATGGGTTATTTGAATTTACCTGTTGTCTGTCTCTTTTCAGGTACTGGAATATGATACTCCAGAAGTATTGTTACAAAAGGAAGAAACTGCTTTTTCTAGGATGGTTCAGAGTACAGGAGCTGCAAATGCTCAATACTTACGAAACTTAGTATTAGGAGGGGAAGAGGGTAACAGTGTAGGGAGGGACAAACAGCTAGATGGGCAAAGGAGATGGCTTGCCTCTTCACGTTGGACTGCTGCAGCACAGTTTGCACTAGCTGTTACACTTACTTCATCCCAAAATGACCTTGTGCAGTTAGAAATTGAGGATGAGGATAATATCCTGAAGAAAACAAAGAATGCCGTAATCACTCTGCAGGGAGTATTAGAGGGTAAGCACGACAAAGAAATCGAAGATACCCTGGATCAGTACCAGGTTTCCAGAGACAGATGGTGGTCTTCTTTATACAAGATGGTTGAAGGTAAGGACTACTGCAAATTAAACTTTTCAAAAGCAAAAAATTACTTTCATGGTCATCTTCTTTGAGAACCGTTATTTGTCATGGTCACCATTATTGTCGGTATTGATGAAGAACAAGATTTAGACAGAGACAGGCACACGTGCCCTAACAAAGGAATAGGATGTACATGGATAAAATGTATAATTTTACCTACTTCCCTTTGCCACCATTTTTAATGCTTCAGACATCCGGTGTTTGAAATCCACTGGATCACTAATTCTGATTCGCGAAGGTAGGGCTCCGTAGAGGGGATAATGTGCTCCCAACTAGGAGTTCCTCTATTTCCCGTGCTCGAACCTGAGACTTTTGGTTGAGGGTAGAGGGATTCCAACCATCCCACCACACTCCTTGGTTTTATTTTTTGGTTTAGGCATTTTGTTATCTGGGTGAGTATGTCTTTGTGTGGTCTTTGAGGCCTTTACTTGGTCTCCAATTGTTTCTCTTTAAGGAAGCAGTGCTGTTAGTATAATGTTCTCATCTTGTATGATTTTTTTAATCAAATATTGGTTTTATTTATGGTTCTGGGCTTTTACACTTTTCAGGTCTCGCGATGATGAGTAAGCTGGCGCGCAATAGACTTCATCAAGCAGAACTTGAGGTTGAAGAAAAAGCAATTAACTGGGATCGCGCTGAGATGTAGAAGTCTTCCAGCTGCAGCAGATAATGGAATGGACCTTTTTTACCTTATTTTATTAGATTTCACAGATTTTTGGTTCTGCCCCCTTTATCCCATGAGAAATTTTTGCTGTGCCTTTTCTGAAGATGATGATAAGGTTTGTTGTAAAATTAAGGAGAAATGTAATTTTGAATGCAACTACCACAGATACAGGGAAATGGCATAAGAGTGGCTTTTTGTTATAAGAGATCTCCTAGTTCTGTGCTGCATTGCTAAAACAACTTATTTTTGGATCCTATCAAATATTATTATCTAGCTTCTATCTATACGCACACACACATCCATGCACCACTAATAGTAGCGTAGGTGATGTCTTTTTACAAGCTAGTCATAGTTTTGCGCTAAGATGACATGAACAAATCGAGAAATGGTACAAGCCAAGGGTGGTTTATGTTCTTAACTTTTTTATACCTTGTTTTCCCTTAGTATTGTTTAATTGCACAGTCCTTAATAGAGAAAAAATATTCTTAAGTATAGGACTTAAATTAAAATAGAGCTCGGTGTTTTTTTCTTTTAAGTGGATTTTATTTATTTTTGATAAGCAACTTAGGTAAGTCATACTTTTAGTAGAAAGGGCAAAAATTTAGATGCAATTATATTTTGAATTCGTAATAGAAAATAAGTCACATTCAAAATTAATTGAAATTTAGCCACTTTTTTCAACCGAAAGTAATACCTAGACAAAAAGACCCCTAAAATCCTATGCTTCCTCTCCGCTTCTTCGTTACTCAACAACAGATGAAATTGGTACATAAAAACTCCCATATAATATGCTGGATTTCAAGTTTTTGCAACTAAAATTTCAGCATATTGTGTTGGAGTTCATGCAAGTTTTCTTACGTTTCTACAATTTTTCTAGGAACTCCTCTCTTATCTCAAACTCTCTATGATAGAGAGTCACAATATCAGTTGTTGCAACAACAATATGTGATGTTGTTTCGCAGTTGCCACTTCAGCTAATCAAGTCTAGTCATCTGGCTAAGGATGTTCATAGTTCAGTTTGGATAGGTTTTTTTCTTCAAAGAAAACCAAAACAAACCAATTAAGTCGATTTTTTCTCGATTCGGTTTATGTCGGTTTTTCGGTTTTGTTGTTTTTTCTTAAAGATGAGACATACACTACCAAACTCATATTCCAGCGACTATATTTTCAACGTAACATATCAAGCAATTGCACTTTCTGCATAGTTAGCCACTAATAAGAGATGTATTTACTTTTAAGCCACTGTTTAATACCCCTCTTCTATAATAATTTCGCTGAAACCTACGCTCCTTCGCTCAACTTATTTACGTGCAGAGAGTTTAGGAGAGAAACCTTCGCTCAAACTTTACCTATTGCATAAACCTTTGATCGTCCAAATTACAGAAGGTTTTCTCCTTCTTTCTCCTCCTATTTCAAACTAGAGAATTCAATTTTCTCGTCTAAATTTTACCATAAAATTACAGTAAGTTCTAAAATTTCAGATATCTCTATATGCTTTTGTGTGTTTGTGTGGATTTTGATTTCGTTACTGGAGAATAAGATTCAAGGGATTTGATATTTTTATTTTCCTTTCCTAGATTGCATTGTATTGATAAAGTTTCCTGTATTTACAAGTTGTATTGATTAAGGTTTAGGACATCGTGTCCCTAATTTTATGACTGCTGTGTAAATGTAAAGGACAAAGTGTCATGTATTTGCAACTTGTATTGATAAAGTTTAGGACATCGTGTCCTTAACTTCATGATTGCTGTGTAAATATTAAGGACAAAGTGTCCTGTATTTGCATCTTATTCAGGCGTTCGGCCCGCTCCAAAAGAAGAGATGATACTTTATGAACATCCGATTTAAAAGTTATTATAAGGCTAATACACAAATAAGCACAATTTTTATTAACGGTCAAGTAACCCGCCAAAAATAAAGTAAGTGAAATTCGGTCTTTTACAATTCTTTTATCAAGTTTCAATATAATTTAGGCACTTAAATTAACAGGTAGGGTGCAAACATTACAAATATTTCATGATTTGGGTCCTAAACTACCCGGGCATAAGCATAATTAGTAACTACGGAAGGATTCTCATCACCTCATGCATTCGTAGCCCCCACAATTAGTAGCAAATAGTAATTTAAATCACCTATGGGGTAAATTCCCTTTTACAAGGTTAGACAAGAGACTTAACTTATCTCAACGCTCTCTTTCCGGCCTCGAATTTACTCTAAAGCCTCAATTCAGTGCCGAACAATCTGAAACTAGTCAAATATTATATAAAATAATCAATACATGTTTGAAAGTTCGTAATCTAACTATTAGAGTAGTTACCCAACCCCTATTGGAAGATTTCTAAGATTCACCTTAGGCCCACGTGCCCGGATTCTGAAAATTTTCGAAGATAATTGTTACGCATAATCTCACGAATTCAAATATATAATTTTCACCAAATTCCATAACCGTTTTCGTGGTTAAATCCCATTTTTATCAAAACCTAGATTTTTTTCATCTAAACCCATAATTTTCACAATTTTACATATTAAAATCTACCCATAATCAATGTATTTAACTTACATTGGATAGAAATCACTTATCTCCAATAGCTAGGTGAAAAACTCCTCTCTAAGAAGGTCCAAAATCGCCCAAGAAGTGAAGCAAATGAGTCAAAAATGGCATAAGTCCCGTATTAAATAAACCTCACTACCTCCAGGACTTCCGCTTCTGCGGCTCCATCACCGCATTTGCGGCTCCACTTCTGCGGAGAAAGCCTCGCAGATGCGACTCTCCCTCAGTTGGCCTCTTCCGCATCTGCGGACCACAGGCCCGCTTTTGCAGGACCGCTGCTGTGACTTGCGTGCCGCACCTGCGTCTTTGGCCGCTTCTGCGATTGCTTCCATCGCACCTGTACTTTCGCAGGTGCGCACCATATCCCGCATCTGCGATTTTTGGGCTGCCTATGCTGGGCTGCTTCTACGGCTGCTGGCTCGCACCTGCGGTTGGCCCTCCGCAGGTGCGATTGCACCAGAAGCTTGATGTTTGAGCTGTTTATCCAAGGCCAAACGACTTACACGCATCGTCCGAATGGCATCCTTGGCCCCGTCCAAACATATCAATAAGTTTGTAAACATAAAACGGACTAGCTCGCACCCTCGGAATGCGGAAAACAACATTAAAACTAAGAATCGCAACCCAAAACCAATAAAATCAACTTATGAACTTCAAATTCTTCCAACTTACTCCGATCGCGCCGATTCATACTTAAACTACTTGGAATGACACCAAGTTTTGCGTGCAAGTATTAAATCACCATACAGAATAATTCCCAGGCTCGGAATCCCAAATGGACTTCGATAACACCAAAACCTACTTCAAACCAAATTTAAAGAACTTTAAAACCTTCAATGCGCCAACTTTCAACGTTTTGCGCCGAAACTCTCCCGGGTCATCCAAAACCCGATCCGAACATACGCCCAAGTCCAAAATCATCATACTAACCTATTGGGACCGTCAAATCCTGGTTCTGAGGTTGTTTACCAGAAATGTTTGCCCAAGTCAAACTTACCCCTTTAAAGCCAATATTAAGGAGTTAAGTGTTCCAATTTCAACCCGAACCCTTCCAAATTCTGAACTAACCGTACATGCATGTGATAAAACAGTAAAAGAACATACATGGAGTCTTATTTAGGGGAACGATATCTAGAAATAAAATGACCGGTCTGGTCGTTACATTCTTCACCTCTTAAATAAACGTTCATCCTCGAACGGGTCTAGAATCATACCTGAAGTGCTGAATAGGTGTGGATATCTGCTCTGCATGTCCTCCTCGACCTCCCAAGTCACCTCCTTGAGTGGTTGGCCCCTCCACTGAACTTTACAGTAGAAATCTTCTTGGACCTCAGTTGGCGAACCTGCCTGTCAACAATGGTAGCTGGCTCTTCCTCATAACCCAGGCTCTCATCTAGCTGAATAGTGTTGAAGTCTAACACATGCGACCTGTCGGCATGATACCTCCGGAGCATAGACGCGTGGAAAACCGTATGAACTCCAGATAGACTGGGAGGTAAATCAAGCTCATAAGCAACTTTCCCAACTCATCTCAACACCTCAAATGGTCCTATGAACCTTGGGCTCAATTTTCCCTTCTTCCCAAACCTAATGATTCCCTTCATCGGCGAGACTTTCAAGAGAACTTTCTCGCCCACCATAAATGATAAATCACGCGCCTTCTGGTACGCGTAACGTTTCTGTCTGGACTGTGCTGTGCGAAGTCGCTCCTGAATCAACTTTACCTTTTCCAAGGCATCCTTCACTAAATCGGTACCATATAACTTAGCCTCACCGGGCTCAAACCATCCGACGGGCGAACGACATCGCCGACCATATAAAGCCTCAAATGGAGCCATCTCTATGCTGAACTGATAACTGTTGTTGTAAGAAAACTCAGCCAATGGCAAGAATCTATCCCACTACCCTCCGAAGTCAATCACACATGCTCTGAGCATGTACTCCATAATCTGAACCATTCGCTCAGATTGTCCGTCGGTCTACTGCGGATAAAAGTCAGTGTTGAGCTCTACTTGGGTCCCCAACTCACTATGTACGGCCCTCATGAAATGTGAAGTAAACTGGGGGGCTCTATATGATATGATGGAAACATGCACACCATGTAACCGAACAATCTCCTGAATGTAAATTTGAGCCAACCTCTGTGAAGAATACGTGGTAACAACCGGAATGAAGTGTGCTGACTTGGTCAACCTGTCGACAATGACCCAAACTGCATTAAACTTCCGCAAGGGCCGCGTCAACCCAAGTACGAAATCCATGGTAATGCGCTCCCATTTCCACTCAGGTATAACCATCTGTTGGAGTAGGCCACTTGGCCTCTCATGCTCGTACTTAAACTGCTGGAAATTAAGGCACCTCGCTACATACTCAACTATGTCCTTCTTCATCCGCCGCCACTAATAATGCTGCCTCAAGTTGCGATACATCTTCGTAGCACCTGGGTGAGTGAATAGAATATCGAGAACTGTGTGCCTCCTCTAGAATCTTTTACCTTAATCCATCAACATTAGGGACACATAGGCGACCCTGGAGTTACGTAACACCATCCTCCCTGATAGTAACCTGTTTGGCACTACCCTGTAGTACTATCTCTCTGAGAACCAATAAGTGCGGATTATCAAACTGACGAGCCTTGATCTGCTCGAATAGTGAAGACTGGGCAACAACGCATGC